CCTGCATGTGTGAATATGTATGTGTATCTGTCTGTCTGTGTTTCTGTTGCTACTCTTGAGTCATTTCAGTTGGTTCTCTGTGATCCCATTTGCAGTTTTCTTGGCAAAGGTAGTAGAGTGGTTTGCCATTTCCTTCTCCAGCTCATTTTACAGATGAGGAAACTGAGGCAAACAAGGTACAGTGACTTGCCCAGGGTCATATAGCTAGAAAGTGTCTGAGGCTAGATTTTCACCTCAGGTTTTCCTGATTCCCTGTCCTGGCTCTTTAACCACTGCAGTGCCACCTAGCTGCTCCTGTACATAGACAGGGGTGGTGTTGGCAATAGCTTGACTATAATGAGCCTGCTTTCTATGTATAGTTTTTTTGGGGGTTTTATTTTGTTTTGTTTTGTTTTTGCTAGGCAATGGGGTTAAGTGACTTGCCCAGGGTCACACAGCTAGCAAGTGTCAAGTATCTGGTCTGAGGCCAGATTTGAACTCAGGTCCTCCTGACTCCAGGGCCGGTGTTCTACCCACTGCACCACCTAGCTGCCCCGTATATAGTTTTTTGGAAACAGAAAAAGTTAAGTCATAGCAGAGACATGCTGACATCTTTCAGCATCCAGACCTTCAAGGTTTGCTGGTCACTATCCTATGGCATAGCAAATAGACACTTAGACTTGAAATCAGCAAGGCCTGGCTTCAGTTCTCCCCAACGCTCCATAGCTGTGTAACCATGGGTAAGTCACTCAATATGTCAGAGCCTAATTTCCCTCATTTGCAATGAGGAGGGGTCACTCCAGACCATACCTGGAGCTGTGCTCAAAAAAAAGCCGAGTTTGTTAAATCATTGCTCTGTATCAGAACTAATTCTTTGCCACCAAGAATTCATATGAATCTGCATGTAACATCTGAAAATTCTGCAAGTCATGAACCCAGCATGGCAAAGATGCTTTTTTATGGACCAACATTGAGATACTGACTTTGTGCCTGGCCCAAAAGGATTAAAGAGTGTCAGTAGGACACACACGTTGGTGCACGAGACAGTCCTCTGGCCACCTCCAAGGCCAATAGAAATGGTGAGAATATCTAAAGCCTGGTTTGTTCAAATAGGTGATTAACTCCTGAGTGTTGTGGCTGAAGAATGACATCTCCATAAAGAGACAGCCTCATTGGGAAAGAAATATTGAACCTGATAGAAGCTTTGCTAATGTCTGTGCCGGGCATGATATACAGATATAAAGATTAAGCATTTGTTCTGATCTTTCAAAAAAGACTAGGGGGAAGAATGGGGTTGGGGGGACCAATAAAAGGTGATGAAACTAGGAATATCAAAGTCCACAATGCAATGTCAACATCCCCAAGACCCATGGAAATGTGCATGGGGATAGCAAATGAAGAGAATATCACATTCCCTTTTTGCCATCAATGCATTATTCATGCAGAATTCATCTCCTAAAACACAACAGGCAATGGGGAAGAGTTAGTTCAGAAGTGCAGAGGAATTCTGGGGGACACAAAAGAGGTGAACCAGGACCTAAGGATGTACCCCGCCAATAATGCTGCTCCAGCTTCAAATAAACCTTCAGAGAAACATTGTTTTGTTTTGTTTTAACACAAAATAGCATGACCCAGTCTTACAACACCAGACTTAGCTCATCAGACCCACCTTTGAAGGACTCACCAACATTGATGTGATTCAAAAGAATGTGAAATAATTCCCAAAGAGGACTCCCCAAATTAGTTGGAATCACAGCTGCATCACCCAAGTAAGCATCCAGCCACCCATATTGGAAGATGTTAGAGAAAACATTGGCTTGGAAGCATCAGTCCTAATATAATTGTTCAAAAAGGTACGCTCATTACTTGAAGTCAGGAAAACCCAGATTCCAAACCTGCCTCAGATACTTACTAGCAGTGTGGTGCTGGGCAAATCAGGTCACCTCCTCGGGCCTCAGTTTCCTCATTGTAAAATGGATGAGTGGATTGGCCTCAGCCTCTAAGGTCCTTTTCATCTCTAAGTCAATCCCATGAATTTCAAAGTGTGTGTGTGTGTGTGTGTGTGTGTGTGTGTGAGAGAGAGAGAGAGAGAGAGAGAGAGCACATGAGTGTATATGTGCACGCATGTGTACAAGTATATGTATTTGTATGAAGAAATATATGTGTCTAGAGAAGAGGAGAAAATTACCACAGGGATCTTAGAAAAGACCATGCATTCAGGATGGAGTCTCCAATCCCACGTGCCAGGAAGAACCAACATATGGTCCTGATAGATGTCTTTCCAAGTACCTATAATTGAAGATTAATTCATCCATACTGTTCTCTCCTATTCTAGAGTGGGCACTGAAGCATTACACGTAAACAATGTCTCATCTGGATTATCTTAGTTTGGAGCAATCCAATGGTTTCTTTGCATCAGTTTGGGTGTGCAAATGAGAGGAGGATCATCTAGGAAGTGTTCCCTATCCGCCATTGCCATAGATCTCACTTCCTTCAAGTAGACATTTAGAAATGCCAAGTTGTCCTTCAGCTATGAAGCTAACACTACCAATCCCTTTTCAGTAGGCCATATGCTTTGAGTCAGTTTCCTCAGCCATGTGGACAGGCATCCATACCTTCCTACTAGGCCCTCCTGGTGCCCCAGGAGCTATGGTCACCAAAAGGCTGGCCTCAATGAAGGGCATAGACTGGGGACAGGGAAAACAGAACAGTAACTGGGCTAGGTAAGGATTCACACCATGACTTTGGTCTCATTAACCCTGGAATATAACCCAATAAATTAACTGACCTGCATGGCTATGGACCATCAGCTCTCAAGCTATAGACTTTTGACAACAGTTGCCCCTCAGAGAAGGCTGGGTGCTTGGTACCTAGTATGAAATTTAAGCTATGCAAACAAGGATACACATATATAAAATATATGTATACAAACATACATATGTATAGATATAGATATGGCTAGTATATACTTGGACTAGATAAGAGGATACTCCTAAAACTTCCGAGAGACAGAAGTGGTGGGGAGCAATGCCATCTGTAGCTGCCGGAAGCAGCATCTTTGCATATGCCTGCTGGGCCTGGGACTTCCTGGAATTTTCCTTTTGGTTCCAAAGTGGACCACAGTGGAAAGAAGTCTGACTTGTGACATGGGAATTGCATTCTCCCTCCAGCTAGTAAGAAAAGTCTTCAATGATTGGGGAGGGAAGGAAGATCAAGAAAGTCATGGAGGAAATGAATCAGACAATAGTGATCTGAAGTGGACATACCTGAGGGCCTAATTGCCTCAGTCAGAGCTGTAGCATTCGTTAAGCAAGCAAGGGACACAAAGGGGTGTGTCTGGGGGACTCTGGGAAGCTTCTTCCCCTATGGACTCTTTCCTAGGGAAAGGACCATTGGGAATCGAAGCCCAGGGCACTTTGTCTATATCTCTGTACCTTAGCAATGGGTTCTAGGAACTAGGGGGAAAGTATTAATGAAATTTGCTAGGAATTCCCCTTCCTCCCTTAGGAAAGGAGAGAAGAGGAGGAAATGGAGCAGTTGGAAGGGAAAGAGAGAAGACAGAAAGGAGAGAGAAGAGTCAGGTGAAAGGAAGCCAGAGGAGAATGAGGATGAGGAGGGAGAAAAAGGAAGAAGAGGAAGGGGACCAGGGAATAAGATGAGAATAATAAATGTTAGCTCTTTGAGGCAGTTTGATTTGGTGGGTAGGGTGCCGGACTTGGAGTCAAGAAGATCTGGGCTCAAATGACAGCCTAGATATGTACTAGCTGTGTGACCCTGGGCAAGTCACTTCACCACCTGCCTGGGCCTCACTTTCCTCCTCTGTAAAATGAGAGGGTTGGCCTCTGGGGGCCCTGCCAGCTCTAGATGCATGAACCTAGAAAGGGGTTGGACTCAATAATTCCTAAGGTTCCCTTCAGGCTTTAAGCCTATGATCCTAGGGTAGGGACTGGTCTTTTCTTTTTCTTTGCAAACTTCAGTGCCCAGCACCTAGTAAGTGTTTTGTAGATATTTGTTGATTGATTGATTGATTGATTGATTGATTGATGAGGGAAAAGAAGGGAGGATACAATTCCCTTTACCCCAACCCAGCTGATTTCACAGTGGCCAGTTCCAGGAAAAGAAAAGGCTAGGACGGATGCTTTCCAGGCAAGGCAGATCTCTTCTGCGTCCCTCCCACTGTTACACCCCCACAGCTGCTAGAAGAACTCTGAATTCAGATGAAGGGAAATGGTCAAAGGATGGGATTATTTCTTCTGTCCTTCCCCCCAGCCACCCATCTCCTTCTTGCTAAGTTTGAATTCTCCCCAGGCCAGACTCAGGAAAGGACAGAATATCTTTATCTCTATCTTAATCATGCAGGTTTTCTCTATTTCTAGAAAAAAGAAGCTGAGAAAGGAAGAAAAAAAATCAGCAGTGCAAATCTCTGTGACCCAATGTATGAAAAGGCAGGGGATCCAGTAAATAGCAGAATCAGGGATTTTGAAGCATCACTTTGAGTTTGTACCACATGTTTAAAAAAAAAAGAGTCTCTCATTTTCTCTCTCTCTCACTGAGTTGGGATTATAAGGGCTGGTTTTTACAAGGTGCTTTGAGATCTCTTATTCTCTCTCACTGAGTTGGGATTATGAGGATTTATCTTTACAAAGTGCTTTGAGATCTCTCATTCTCTCTCCCTGAGTTGGGATTATGAGGACTGGTCTTTACAAAGTGCTTTGAGACCTCTCATTCTCTCTCACTGAGTTGGGATCATGAGGACTGGTCTTTACAAAGTGCTTTGAGACCTCTCATTCTCTCTCTGTCACTGAGTTGGGATTACAAGGGCTGGTCTTTACGAGGTGCTTTGAGATCTCAGAACACCAGATAATAGGATTTTAGAACTGGAGCAAAAAGGGGCCTTAGACATCATCTAAACTAAGCCCCTCATTTTATAGAAGGGGAAACTGAGGCCCAGGGAAATGGAGTGGCTTGCCAAGGGTCACAGAGGTAGTATCAGAGACTGAATTTGAACCCAACTTCTCTGGCTCCATGAAACTACACAAATATACCAACAACATTTATTAAACATTTCAGTAACAAGTCTTCCGGGATTTCTCTGGATGTATTTTTTTCATTTTACAAGGTTTGGTTCTCACACAACCACAACGGAGAATCTTCAAGCGCTGGTGGAGCTATGGCTACAAGGTCCAGGACACTGGTGGGTAAACTGAGGCCTGGATAAGCAAACAATGGCAACTAGGAGAAAAAGACATCAGAAGACAAGGTGAGCTGTCCCTCTGAGCAAAGGGCAAAGAACCTATCCTAATGGGCCTGACAACATCGTCATGACCCACAAGAAGAGAGAAGGAAAGGAAAGAACCATGAAAGAGGGAGAGAGGCAGAAATAATAGCACAAACATGTCCCTCCCACCCCAGAATGACCTAAGCTATGTGTTCCACGCCAGGCATGGGTACAGCTAACCCACTTTGGCTGCAATCTCCGGCCTATTCTGGCTGGATAGATTGGCCATCAGAACCCCATCAGCTCAAGTCATTTCTATGATGGGACAGATGCCAGATAGGTCTATCTGGTCACACGGGGGGGAATCCTCATTGGGCCTGCGCATCCCAGAACTGGTATTCCAGAAAGGGGAAGGTTCCCTGCAGGTACGTCGACAGGTGGATGAGTCGGGGGGCTGCCCATGGCCACAGGTCAGCACCTTCTGCCACCAAGAACGCAAAGCCATCTTGAGCTCATCACGGAAACTTTTGTTGAGCCAATAGTAGATAAAGGGGTTGTAGCAAGTGCTACTCATGGCAAACCAGTGGAAAGCAAAGTAGACAGCCTCATGGCTGTAGATGACCTTGCTGGACAGGAGCACCTCATAGCAATGGAGGGGGAGCCAGCAGATAGCAAAGACCACCACCACCATGACCAGCATCTTCAGGGTCATCCTCTTTTTCTGTTGGCGGTTGATGGAATGCTCTGAGGCCGTATCTCGGATGGAATTCCGCAGCCACAGCTTCTTGGCCATTAGTGAGTAGGTGACCGAAATCACCACCAGGGGCAGGATGTACAGGAAAAGGAAGGTAACCAAGTCCAAGTACTTCCTGATGCCATCTGAAGAGTGGGGAAAGCTGGGAAGGCAGACCATTTTGTTGCTTTTGTTCCTGTTGTGCCAGACAGAGACAGAAAGAGGGGTGAAAGCAGCGAGAGACATGGAGATCAGGTTGGATTTGGAGGCAGAGGACTTGCTTTGAATCCCACCTCAAATTACTCAGGTGCTTCCTTTTCTCTGAGCACATTCCTGGCACATCACAAGAAGTGCTTGGTAATTAGTCTGGCCTAAGTAAAATGAGTGTTTGAATAAGTGATGCCTAAGAACCACCGTAGTGGTGAATCATATGGTCCGACACCATACGACGGTAATATCTACTTGGCTTTCCCCAAGAGTCTTACCTTGCTATGTGAAGAGGTAGAATCACAAGGGGAAGCATCCTAGAATGTCAGAGGCCACTGAGTCCAACCTGAATCTCCTCCCCAATATTCCCAACAAGGGGTTATTCAGTCTCTGCTTGAAGATTTCCAATGATGAAGAACTTACTACCTCACAACACTGGAATTTTTTGAGCTATTAGGAAGTTGTGGGGAGAAGTCTAAATCTGTATCTCTATAACTTTCCCCTCTCACTCTTAGCTCGATAGTCTAAAGCAGGGGTGGGGAACTTGTGGCCTCGAGGCCACATGTGGCCCTCTAGATCCTTTAGTGTGGCCCTTTGACTTAATTTGTTGTGTGAAGTTTGGATTTAGTCAGAGGGCCACACATGAAGACCTAGGGGGATTTGTTCAGTGAAGTTTGGATCCAGTCAAAGGGCTACACTTGAGGACCTAGAGGACAAGGATTTGTTCTGTGCAGTTTGGATTCAGTCAAAGGGCTGCACTTGAGGACCTAGAGGGCCACATGTGACCTCGAGGCCCCAGGTTCCCCACCCCTGAAGTGAAATAGAACAGGTGTATTTCCTCTTCCACATGATGGCCTTTCAAATACCTGAAGTCTTTCCTAAGTGTTTTCTTCCCCAGACTATATATATCTCCATTTCATGTAACCATTCCTTATATAGCATGCTCTCTGAAACCTTCCCCATCCCAGTCCTTTTCTTCTAGATCAGGGATTCTAACCTGGGGTCCACGAATGTTTTTTAATACTTTGATAATTTTTGTTGTTGTTCAGTCATGTCCAACTCTTCATGACCCCATTTGGGTTTTCTTGGCAAAGATACTGGAGTGGTTTGCCGTTTCCTTCTCCAGCTCATTTTTTCAGATGAGGAAACTGAGACAAACAGGGTACAGTAACTTGTTCAGGGTCACACAGCTTGAAAGTGTCAGAGGGCAAATGTGAAGTCAGGTCTTCCTGACTCTAGGCCCTACACTCTATCCACTGCACCATCTATGCTGCCTATTTTGATCATTGTATTTCAATATAATTGGTTTTCTGGGTAATCTTACACATTTTATTTTACACGCTTGAAAACATGATTTTGAGAAAGGGTTCACAGACTTCACCAGACTGACAGCTCAAGAGGCAAAAGGGTTCAGGTCTGGCCTCAGACACTTCATCGCTGTGTGACCCTGGGCAAGTCACTTAACCTCTGTTTGCCTCAGTTTCCTCATCTGTAAAATGGGGATAATAACAATAGGACCTAGCCCTCAAAGTTGTTGTGAGGATCAGATGAGATCGTATTTGTAAAGTGCTTAGCCCAGTACCTGGCACACAGCTATATTCCACATTAATAAACACTTATTTTCTTCCTTCCTATGTTAGCTCTTTTAGCAGGTACCATCATGGTCTTCATAGGAGCACAGATTTAGAGCTAAAAAGGCACATCTAAATCAACCCTGCCATTTTACAGATGAAGAAACCGAGGCCAGAAAGACTAAGGGCTTTGCCCAGGGTCACAAAAGTAGCAAGTGACAGAAGTGGGATTCGAACCCAGGTCCCTTGATTCCAAAGCGAGCACTCTTCCGTCTGTACTCAACTCATGAGTTGCAAATTAACTAATGTTTTGTGTATATATATTCCAAGTAAAGAGTACTTCGCAATCAGAGGAGAGAATAATAATTAGCACATTCATACATTGTACATCTGCACATATTTCAGCTGACAAAACTATATTTCAGCTGTCCATGTCATAAAAGCTGTTTGTGTTGCTCAGAGATGAAACAACACACACATGTTTGCCGATGCTGGTATGAAATGCAGAATTACAAGATGCAAATACGTTTTCATTTACTGATGGCCTAGATCAGAGCATAAAACCTTGACCTTTGTGAGAAGAAGTGTAGATGGAAGCACAATTCGTGAATGGGCTAATTGGTACTCTAATTGGGGACTTTGTTTCCCCACGTTGGCACAGATAAACACAACAGAGTGCCTACGCTGGACCCACTTTGAAATTACTGGGAAATGTTCTTAGCTGGCCTGAGAGGAAATTCTCTTCTGTCCACTCAAATCAAATGAAATAATGTTTGGAAAGTGCTCAGCACCTGCCTGGCACAGAGTAGGCACTTATTACTTTCCACTCCCTTCCCTTTCTTCTTATCTTCCTCCCACTTCTATTGACTATAAAGGTAGTGAGGTGACCCGGTAGATAGAGAAGTGGGCCTGGAGTTGGGAAGAATTGAGTTGAAATCCAGCCTCGGACACTGACTAGCTGTGAGACTCTGAGCGTGTCACTTAACCTCTGATGGCCTTAGTTTCTTCAACTGTAAAAAGGAGATAATAATAATAATAATAATACACATCTCTCAGAATTGTTGTGAGGATCAAAGGCTTAGCACACTGCCTGGCACACAGTAGGCATTAATAGAAATTTGTTCTCTCCCCTCCCCCGCCTCCTCCTTCCTTACCACAGCCTGAAGTGCCCAGCCTAGAGGGAGACGTGGGAATCAAGGGAAGAGAGATAGGGAGGGAGACAAGAGATCGTGTTTGGAGGAAGACTTATATTAACCCCGTCGCGTGCAGAAGATCCTGCCTCTAAAATGGGGCCTCCAGGTGATTTCCCAAGTTCTAGCAGCTCCCTAGGAGAGCCAGGAAGAATCCCCAGGCCTCCCCTGGCCCACTCACACGGTATCAAGCTGAGGCAATCTCTGGTAGATAGCATGTGGCAGGGAGAAACAGCTGGCCAGGATCCAGATGACGATGACATAGATACCGCCCTTCATGGTAGTCATTCGTGGCTTCAGAGGCTGCATGGTTACCTGGAAAGAGGCAGGGGAGGAATATCTTCATCAGGAACCAAAGCAGACTCAGATGCTAGAAATGGGACATTTAGTTATTTAGTCAACAAACTGATTGAATGCACATTTGTACAGACTTCGTACAATGCTCTTAGGGAGACACGGTTTGTATAACAATCCCAGCCCCGTAGGAACTTACAGCTTGGGACAGGGATATATTATGAACACAGCTAAGTAGGATGTACAACAGAGGCTGATAAGGGCATCCAGAAAGGGCAAAGTGCTGTGTGAACCAAGACTTAGTACCCATGGGAGGAAGCAAAGGAAACTTCATGGAAGAGGCAACATTTGAATCTGAGTCAAAAGGCTAGGGAAGAATCCAGTAGGCAGAGTGGTAACCCCAGCCACATTGGCCACAAGAACCCAACCCAATTCCCAATGCAGGCTGCTGCTTGGGGATTCTCTTACTCTGTTTTTGTTTTGTTTTTAAATTTTTAGGCAATTTGGGGTTAAGTGACTTGCCCAGGGTCACACAGTAGTAAGTGTTAAGTGCTTGGTCTGAGGCAAAATTTGAACTCAGGTCCTCCTGACTTCAGGGCCAGTGCTCTATCCACTGCACCACCTAGCTGCCCCTGATTCTCTTATTCTGGGTAGACCATTGAGTCATGAGTTGCTCAGGTGGGAAGAGGCCCTTGAGACTGAACGGAGCCCTGACCTTGACCTTCATTAGGAACAGCACCTTCCTGCTCCTCTGTTACTCTGCCTGGACCCACTCACAGGTTGGAAAGAAGCTTCTTCCTCCCTATCTTACTCTCCCAATCCCTGTGATACCAAATGCAAAGAGCAAAGCCCACTCTCTAATCCCTAGGCACCCTGACCCTACTTCCAAGGTCTCTCTCCCAATCTGCCCATCTCTGCCCCCTTGCCTTCTGGGATTCCTGCTTTATCATGAACAAGCTTCTCTTCATTTGAGACTTCTTGGGTCTCACTTCTGTTATCTCCTGGCTCTGACTGAGACCTGACTCCCTCTGGCTGACTCTCACCCTGGCCATCCTCTCTAGTAATGGCTATACCTTCTATTAGACCATCCCCTGACTCATCAGTACCAGTGGGGGCATTTGAACTCTCCTTGTTTCTGTCATGGCCACTTCCAGACTCAACCTCTACCCTCATCACTCAACGACCTCTCCTTCGCTATCCAAATAACCAAACCAGATTCCCAAGCCCCAGCACATTCCCTTTCCTTTCTCAGGGAGTTCAAGGCCTGCCTCATAGTCTTTCTCACAGCCCAAACTCTTGCCTTCCTCCTAGGGGACATCTACATACATGTGATGACAACAGTCACCCTCTTGATCACCATCATCACCCTTGAGCGTTCCATCTCCAGGGTTCTGAAATTCCTCTCTCAGGTCATAGCCTTCCATTATTTTATCTCTCCCTAGGATTTCCTCCTCCTAGCCTATCCTTCCCCCTCATTGTGACCTCCTCTTTGCCTCCATCTTTTTCCTAGGCCATCGCCTCTGCTTTGGCTACACTCTCTTTCCTCCTCCATGTCCCCCCTTATTGAGTCAGTCCAACTTTAAGCTACCTTCTTACACTCAGGCCACTTATCCCCTCGTCCCGTCACCATTCACCCCTCACCAAACTCCAAGCCCAGATTCCTCCAACTGTCTGCCTCTTTCTCTCCTTCCTGCAGAACAGAGGGAGGATGCCACACCATGGTGCTGAGATCACTACCAATTTATATTATCAAAATTCAAGTGGGCTCTTATTTCAGGAACTTAATCCTTCTCCTCTCTAATCGATTCTCTAACTCACTGACAGCAGTGGTTGTTACAAATCTTTTTACCTCTCCTAATACCTCACATGGCATCCCCTCCTTCTACTCTCTTGATTGAAAACCTGGACTCATACTTTCCTAAGAAAATCAAGTCCCCTTCTCCTTATCTTGCACCCTCCTGATATCATTTCCCATCATGTCCTTCTTATCTCCAAGGCCAACCCCTCTACATGTACCCTTGATCCTACCCTCTTCCATTATATTATGTATACATATAAACACATGTGTATACTATATACATATATATGCACTGTGTGTTATGTATACATGTATATACATGTGTATATTAGATATATAGGTATATAATATAGGTACATATTACATACATATGTATATATATTATGTATACCCATGTGTACACATACATGTATGCAAGATACGTATCTCCTCTTCTCTCCACTTGTATACATCACCTTAGTTCAGACTCTCATCCCTTCTCACCTGGACTACTTCAGTGCCCTCCCAATTAGTCTCCCTGCCTCAAGGTTCCACCATTTCCAATCTACCCTCCACACAGCTGCCACAGTGATTTTCATAGATCCTAAGTGTGACCACGTCACTAACCTTCTCAACAACTTGCTGTGGCTCCCTATTACCTCTAAGATCAAATGTAAACTCCTCTTTTTGACCTTTAACCCCTTCCCAAACTAGCCTCTTCCTCCCTTTCAAGTCCACTGCCACATTGCTCCCCTTCATCCATTTCACTAGGCAGCCATATTGGCCTACTTGCCGTCCCAGGAGCACAAGACACCATCTTTCATCTCCATGCCTTCGCCCCGTGCCTGAAACGCCCTCTTGCCTTACCTCGGCCTCTTGTAGTCCTTGGCTTCTGGCCTCAGCTCAGGTACCACCTTTGGAAGGAAGACCTTCCTGGACCCCTCAGCTGCTGGCTGTCTGTATCTCACAAATGCTAATATATGTATATGTTGTCTGCCACAAAGAAAGTAAACTCCTTGAAGGCAGGGACAATAGAATTTTGCCTTTATATCCTTTGAACCTAGTAAAGTGCCTAGCACATAGTAAGTACTTAATATGTGTTTGTTGATCGAATGAGGAAGGCTGAAGACTTTGAATGCCAAGCAATAGGAAGCCATTGAGACTTTTTCAAGCAAGGGAATAGCATGGCCAGATCTAAGGAAGATTGTTCTGACTAAATGTGAGGGATGGATAGATTGGTGAGAGAGCAGAGGCCCCAAGTTCTGCTAAAAAAAATCCATTATTGGGGGCAGCTAGGTGGCGCAGTGGATAGAGCACCGGCCCTGAAGTCAGGAGGACCTGAGTTCAAATTCGGCCTCAAACCAGACACTTGACACTTACTAGCTGTGTGACCCTGGGCAAGTCACTTAACCCCAATTGCCTAAAACAAAAAAATATCCGTTGTAATAGTCATCCAGGTGGGTGATAATGAATGGCTGTATGAGGGGGGTGCAGAATTGGGCTTATCAATCCAAATAATTAATTTTAATTTATAGGAATAAATTAGAATATAAAGAAATTAATTTAATTAATTAATTTTGATTTGTCAATTCAAACTCAGAAGCCAGAGTGTCTTCATGTCCAGGTATTGGGAAGATTCTGGGAGAACCTGTACTCCTTGCAAACCACTGGTCAAAGCCATCAGTTTGTTCAGTTGGGTGGCAGGTGATGGTGATGGCACTAAGGTCCCAAGGTCCCCATGGGCCAGTCTGCTTCTCCATTCCCTAGTCACCAACTGCTCCCTAACCACCAAACCCTTGATCATAAGGGGCATTGCGTAGGAGTGCAGATGGGTCAGTGCTGATCAGAACTGCAAATGATCTATTGACAGAACAGTGGCAGCATCTTTGAGACAGAAAAAAGATACTAGCTGGGGTCGAAGGCTCTTAGAACTGAAAGGGACCTTAGGTCTATCTAATCTGGCTGAGGAGGGCCATCAATAGGCATGGGGAGAATCTGGCTTCTGAGTTTGAATAGAGAAATATAATTAATTAATTAATTTATATTATACTTTATTTATATACATTAAAATTAATGAATTTAATTGATAAGCCCAATTCTGCCCACTCACACAGCCCTTCATTACTGGGCAACTGGCAACTGTTAGAATGGATTTCCCTATCAATACGGGAAAGCCACACAAAGAGCGGGGCGTAGGATTCAGACGTAAAGGTACTGTAAAGATTATCCAATCTAACCCATTTGACTGATGCAGAAACTGAGACCCAGAAGGGTCCTGTGACTTGCCCGAGATCACACTGCTAATATAATAGCAAAGCTGGCATAACTTCAAGTTCACCTCAATCTTCCTCAGTTTCCTCATCAGCAAAATGGGAATAATAACAGCACCTGTCTCCCAGGGCTGTTGTGAGGATCACATCTGCAAGGTGCTTTGCAAACCTTCCAACACTACATAAATGCTAGCTATTATTCAAGGCCAACTCCCCCAAATGCAATGTCCTTCCCCTTACCCCCCTACTGCTTCTCAGGATCCCTTAGGGATGGCCCACTTTGTTGGCATTTATACATGGGGGCACACTTGCATCTTGGCAAAGGGAAAAGACACTCCCCCAATAAAGGTACCGTACGATTGTGGGTCAATTGCAGAAACCTTTGCCTTCTACTCTCAAGGGGAGCCTTATTTTGCCATCTGTGAGCACTAGGTTCTTGTAGTCCTTGTCTGTGGGTGGGAAGGGAAGTTCCTAGAGCACAATGGGGCAGAGAATGCCAGAGGGAGGGGAGGGATTTAAAGATCATTTGACTTTTGGGGGAAACTGATCCTCCTCCTTCTCCCCGAGAGTTTGTATGATGCAGTGGGGAGAGTGCAGGCTTGGGAGTCAGAAAACCTGGGTTCAAATCCTGGCTTTGCTATTCCACTTGTGTTACTATAGGCATCATTAACTTCTCTGGGCCTCAGTTTCTTCATCTGTAAAATGAAAGAAATTGGACTAGGTGACCTCTAAGGTCCCTCCCAAGTGTCCCTCTTTTATCCTCTGATCCTTACCGCCTTCCTAACTCCCTCCCTTCCTTTTTCCCAGTCCTATCCCTCTCCCCTCTTCTCATCTGGAAACAGCTGGTTCAGAAATTTCCTATAGAATCTCAGATTTTGAAACTGGAAGGGACTTCAGCAGTCATCCTGTTGAACCTATATATGAAATAACACACTAATACATTATAACATGCCTAAGAACCATTCTCCAGCCTCTGCCAGGAGATCTCCAAGAAGGGGAAACCTGCCTTCCCTCAAGGCAAGCCATCCCATTGTCTTAACAGTGTCCTTACTACTGGCCCTTCTACATGCCCCTCCCCCACCTTCCCCCTGGTTCTGCCCTCTGGGACCAAACAGAACATGGCTGCTTCCTCTCTAAATGGCAGCCCCTCATTCATCTGCATATGCCTCCCCTAGTTGATCAAATGTCCTTAAACGGCCCAGAACTGACCTCCAGACAGGTCTGATCAAGGGCAGAGGAGTTATTTCTTGGCAGCCCTGTGTCTCTTAAGGCAACCCAACACCCCACTGGCTTTTCGGCCTCTTCATCACACTTCTGACTCACTTTGAGCATGCAGCCTGCTAAAACTCCCAGACCTCTTGTCAGAAAAACTCCCATGTAACCAAGCTGCTCTCATTCTAGACAGGAGAGGTTGACTTTCTGACTCCAAGTGAAAGACTTTCCATTGATTTCCTCTTCTTAGATTCAGCCCACGCTCTTGCCTGTGGGTATCTCTTTGGGTCCTGACTTTGCCATTCAGTGTATTAGCTCTCCCTCCCAGCTTGGTGTCGTCTACACAGTTGATGATTGTACCTTCTATGTTTTTATCCAAGTTATTGATAAAGATGTTACATGGTGACAAATCCTTGGGGCACTCCACTGGAGGCTTCCTGCCAAGCTGCCGCAGGACCCTTAATGATGATACTTTGAGTGGGGGGGTGGAGGAGGATTGGGCTCCCAGCTGTTTGGCTTCCCTTTAAGGCCTGTGACAATCACCAATGACTTTTAGCAGGGGTTCTATAGTGGCTCACGACTGTGAGCCAGCAATCATGGCTCACTGTCCCTGCTGAGGCCCCAGCTGGCTATCTGGACACCCCCTCTATGCCCCATGCCCGGGTATTGGGTCCTTGTTCCAGCTCAGCTCCCCCATGCCCCTCCCCTAGTGGGTTCCAGTGATACCCGGTGTCGATCCAAAGCGAGGGCTGCCAGGGTTAGCACAGAAACGTAGACGGAGCAGTATTGGACAAAACGACTCAGGTGACACATCGTATATCCAAAGACCCAGGTGCTGCTGATGAAACTGACCTGTGGGCAAGAGTTGAGGCTGTAAGTGAATCCTAGGAGCCCTCAATGCACAATACCCAGCCCCACCCCTGGGAGTCCCAACAGCCAATGAAAGCGGCAACAGAGACAAGAAGTGGGGGCTGAGTGTTGGGAATGGGGACTAGATAAGGACAAAGAAAACCAGGGCATCACAATCTTTTTCCACCTAAAGGCTTAAAGGAAATTCAGATTAATTCGTAATGTATGTGAATCTATGCAAATCAATTTCAAGGGACAAGTATTTATGAATCCTTGAATTAATGACTCCCATGGATCCGATTAGATGGAGTTTAGAATATTTCTACCCAATGGGTTTGGGAATCAAGAGGACAGAATTTCAAATACCAACTATATACCTTCCTACCTGTGTGACCTTGGGTGAGTTACTTCCTTGATGAGAGCCTTTGTTTCTTCTGTAAAATGACAGGACTGACTGACTGGATGAGCCCTCTAGGGTCCCCTTCTAGCTCAAAAGCTTATGCTAATCTCAGTAAATCCAGTTCACTTACTGAACATCCACTTTGTGCCAGGTACTGGAAGACAATCGGCCTCTTCTGTCAATCCCTGCTATTGATCTGTGCCTCCCAAAATGGCCCATAGGAAGAATGACTAGGCAAACCCTAGAAAGATCCCTCAGAGACCCAAAGAATAACACATTGGCATATCTCCAGTTCTTTAAGATTCAGGGATGTTTTAAGCCACCTGTGGTGAAGATTGCAATGAGGTTTCCTCACTCTACAGATGAGGGAAGTAAGGTGAAGTGACTTGCCCAGGGTCACAACAAATGTGTGCTTGTATTTTACCTGCTAAGTAAAGAGGGAGCTTCCTGTGATTTACAGTCAAAGCAATGTACGTGGGAGGTAAAGGACTTTCTAGGAGACAGCCCTAGGAGCAGGAGCAGGAACGCAAAGGGGCCTTAGAATTCCCTTTCCAATAGACTTTTACAAACAGGATGACCCCATGACTGTTTGCTTTTCACCTACTAAAGTTCTGGGCTTGGAACAAGCCTCCTTGGAGGTCTGGAGATAGACAAGGTTGATATCGAATCAGAGCCTGAAGAGAAATTGGAAAATGTTTTATCACAGGAGGGGAGGGGTAAGGAGGAAGAGGGAAAGAGGAGAGGAAATAGAAGAGGAGGAATGAGAGAAGGAAGGGAGGGGAGAAGAAAAGAGGGAGGGGAGAACAGGGGAAGGGAACAAGGAGAGAAGAGGGGAGGGAGAGAGATGAGGAGAAAATAAAGGGTAGGTATGGGTTAAGTGGTGCTGCAGTGCCTGAAGAGCTGGGCCTGGAGTCAGGAAGACCTGTCTAATCTGGCCTCAGACACTTCCTAGCTGTGTGCTCCTGGGCAAGTCACTTTACCCTGTTTGCCTCAGTTTCCTCATCTGTAAAATGATCTGGGGAAGGAAATGGCAAGTCACTCCCGTATCCATGCCAAGAAAACCCCACATGGGGTCACAGAGAGTCAGACATAACTGAAACAACTGAATAACAACAATAACAGTGGGGGGGCAGGAGGAAGAGGGGGGAAGAGAGGCAAAGTGTGGAATAGGAAGGAGAGAGGAGAGTAGGAAGGGTGAAGGAGAGAAGAATGATGAGGTCGAAAGGACAGAGAAAAATTGTGTCGTCTAGTTGAACCCTCTCATTTGACGGAGGAGGAAACTGAGCCGGAGAGAGGTGAGTACCATAGTCACACAGAAAGTAGAAGCAGGAGAGGCTTGAACCTGGCTCCCCAGCCTGAGCGTCTCTCAATAAACGTTGAAAGCTAAGGGAGCCGAAGGAAATGCTGAGGTTTAGGTCTAGAGGTATCCAAGGCAGATCAGTGTCGGGGGCTTTTCGTGACTGATTGAGTGATGGATTGATTCTTTAGACTGGTCGCTGCCTATGCCCCTCCCCCACCTCCTAGCCATCCCTGGCCTAAATAAGCTTGAGGGGTGGGGGTGGGAAATCTATTCAGATCTCAAAGCACTCTGTGAGGGAAAAGTAGGCGACATCCCTTGGATAGCCCTTAGGCAAACAGAAAATGTGTCCTGGGCTCTACCCACCATCCCACTTGCCTAGCTCTCTGTTGTTCCCTTCCTGTCCCCCACCACAGCCCACCCCACTCCACCCTTACCAAAGTGAAGGGTGTGTTCAGCAATGTAATCATGATGTTGGCCACGGCTAGGTTGACGATGAAGAGCCCGGTGGCCGAGTGGACCCGCTTACGCTTCATAATCACGCTGCAGACCAGAGAGTTTCCCAAAAGGGAGACGAACATGATGGAGAAGTAGGCGAAGATGAAGAGCCCTCGAAAGCTGAAGCTGCTCGTCTCTTGCTCGGTACGGGTATTGATGAAGGAGCCCGGACGGCCCAGGGTCAGGTCCAGCGTCAAGTCAGCGTCTGTAGTATGGTCGGACAACTGAGGCAGGAGGGAGATCAAGGAAGGCCAGACAGTGCCGATGCTCTGGCCCTCCTCGCTATCCAGCAGTCCAACGGTCCCAGTGGTCTGGGGGGTCTCACTGGGCTGAGATAACTCCCCGACACTGCTCAGGGTGCCACCGAGCGGGACCGACACCATGGCGGCGAGGGGAAGCCTTCCTCAAGGACGAGAGGGCTGAAGACTTTCTGGCCAAGCTCGGGGAGCCGAGGAGTCGTCGGCTGAACCCTTGGGGGCGCCCTCTGGGCACCCTGGCTGCGCCCTCGCCCTTGCAAGGTGATTGGATCCCTGGAACCACACCCCACCCCCTGTCGACCCTAGGCCTGTCGAGGCACACCCTTCTCCTCTCGGCTCCCGCCCCGCAAGACCTTGCCCCTCACTCCCCGGGCAGAGTGGGGAGCAGCCCAGCTAGCCTGAAGCAGACTACTGGACCCTCTGACTCCCGCCCGCAGCAAGCACTTTAGAGAAAGCGGGGCGGCCAGGCGAGAGCCAATGGGGAAAGGAGAGAGAGCCCCCCAGGCCCGCCCCTCCAAGTCCAGCCTCCTCCCGAAGCCTGACAGGAACCTAGGAGGCGCTGGGAGCTGGGCCCTCGAGGCCCCCCTGGGGCTGCAGTTCCTTGCCAGCTCTCGCTCCTTCTTCCTCCAACTCTGTCTCTCTGCCCCCTCCTCATCTCCCTCCCTCTCTTTTTCTCCCCTTTCCTCCCTCTTCTCTTCTCTTCTCTTCTCTTCTCTTCTCTTCTCTTCTCTTCTCTTCTCTTCTCTTCTCTTCTCTTCTCTTCTCTTCTCTTCTCTTCTCTTCTCTTCTCTTCTCTTCTTCTCTTCTCTTCTCTTCTCTTCTCTCTCTTCTCTTCTCTTCTTCTCTTCTCTTCTCTTCTTCTCTTCTCTTCTCTTCTCTTCTCTTCTCTTCTCTTCTCTTCTCTTCTCTCTCTCTCTTCTCTCTCCTCCTCTCCTCTCTGCCTCCATCTCTCTTCATCTCTCTCCTCTCTTTCTCCATCTCTCTCCCCTCTCTTTCCATCTCTCCCTCTTCTCTTCTTTCTCACTCCCACTTCCTCTCCTGCTCTCTCCCTTTTCCCTACTCCCTTCTCTCCAACTCTTTCCCCTTTCCCTCCCTTTCCTGCTCTCATTTCTGTGACTGTCTCTTGCTCTCTGTCCCCCTCCCTCTCTTCTTCTCTTTTTTCTCTCCCCTTCCTTTCTCCTCAAATCCCCCTTCTCTTGCTCTCCTTCTCTTGTGACCCTTGTCCTCTTCTCCTCTCCTACCTCTCCCCTCCAGCATCCAGAAGAAAATGCTGAGCTTCAGACTTTGAATCAGGAGGGTGGGAGGTGGAGAAACAGTGATGAAGGCTGGAGGAGACAAGAAAAAGTAAGGGGTGACTGAGGGGATCTATTAAACCCTTTCCGCTTCAGTTGATTAGAGTAAGGGAGAGGAGAAGAAAGGGGAGGGGAGAGGATGGAAGAGAGGAGAAAGGAGGAGAGAAGAGGGAAGAAGGGAGAAGAGGATAGAGGACGAGAGGATGGAGGAAAGGAGAGGGAAGAAGGAAGGAAGAGAGGGGAGGAGAGGGAAGAAGGAAGGAGGAGAGGATTGAGGAGAGGAGGAGGGAGGAAAACAGAAAGAAGGGAGGAGGAGAAGATTGAGGAGGGAGGAGGAGAGGATGGAAGAGAGGAGGGAGGAGAGAAGAGGGAAGAAGGGAGGAGAGGATGGAGGACAAGAGGATGGAGGAAAGGAGAGGGAAGAAGGGAGGAAGAGAGGGGAGGAGAGGAAAGGGGAGAGGGGAAGAGAGGAGACTAGAGTTTCTCCCGATTCCAGATGGGGCTGTAAAGTCAGGGGACTATTTTTGTTGTTGTCTAGCAAACATTCTCTAAGTTATTCAGCCCAATGAATGTTGGCCCCTTTGAAGCTGCCCCCTGAAGAGCTTCTGCACTCAGGATTTATCCCCAGAGGCTGCATTGCTCACACACCACCTTTCTGAAACTTCTCTTTGCGAATTCTCTTCAGAGCCAGTCACGCATCCTTTTGAACTTACTCAGTTACCACAAAGTTTCTAACTCTGAAGATATTTGAATTTTGGAAAGTCAGTCACAGAGCATTTATTAAGTGTTTACAGTGGGCAAGACCCTGTGCTAAGTAATCACTTCAAGGGCCCTGCCCTCAAGGAACTCCCAATCTAATGGCCTGGACAATCAGCAAACAATTGCGTACAAATTAGCTCTGAGCAGGGTAAATTGGAAAGAATCAGCTGAGTCGAGACACTAAGAGACTGGGTCAGCCCCACTGGAGAACATGGAACTGGAGTGAGTCTTGAAGGAAGCCAGGAGGGCAAAGTGAGGAGTGGGAGCATTCCAAGCATGAGGGACAGCCAGGACAAAGACGTAGAGTCAGGAGCAGTGACAAGGGGGCCAGAGGAGCTGGATCTGAGAGTGCAGACAGGGCTGTCAAGTGAAAGAACAGTGGAGGCCAAGATGGAAAGGTCTTTAAATGCCAAACAGAGGGGTTTATACTTGATCTTGGAGATGATAGGGAGCCACTGCAGTTAACAGAGTAGGGAAGTGACATGGCCAGACCTCAGCATTAGGAAAATCACTTTGGCAGGTGGGTGGAAGATGTACTGGAGAGAAGGGAGACCAATGAAGAGGTCTTTGCAATAATCAAGGATGAGGGCAGCTGTGTAAGTACAAAGAAAGGGGAATATCCAAGAGATGCCAGGAGGGTAGAAACTACAAGATTTGGCAACAGATTGGACAGGTGGGGTGAGCATGGCGGAAAAGTTTATGTTCTGCACCTGGATGACTGGTAATATTTGGTGCCCTTGACAGTAGTTGGAAAGTGGGGAGGATTCTGGGAGGAAGAGATTCTGAATTCTATTTTGGACATGCTGAGTTTGAGATGTCTATGGGACATCCATTTAGAGCTGTGCAAAAGACACTTGGTGATATAGGGCTGAGACTCAGGAAAGAGAGATGGACATATAGACCCAGATCTCATGTATGGGGAGGATGGTTAAGTCCATCAGAGCTGATATGATCACTAAGGGTGATGGTGTAGAGGGAGAAGAGGACAGAGCCTTGGGTGACAATGAGTGAAGATCCAGCAAAGGAGAATGAGAAGGAGCTGTCAGGTAGGTAGGAGGAGAACCAGGAGAGAGAAGTGTCACCAAAACCTAGAGAGGAGAAGGTGATCAGCAGTGTACAAGGCTACAGAAAAGTTGAGGAGGATGAGGAGTAAGAACAGGTCATTGGAAGAGAGGTGGAGAATTGGCATTAAAAGAAGGATGACAGAGCAATCTGTTGGAAAATTGGGATGGGACTTCATCAAAGATGACCGTTGAGAGGTTTGCCTTGGCAAGGAGAAGGGCCACCTTTTCATCAGACATAAGCAGAGTAGTATGGGAAGATGTCTGACTAATGTGAGATGAAGAGGAGGGCAGAATGGGGAGCTCTCAGTGAAAGGGGGTGGAGAGAGATCAATCCTGGGTGACAGAAAGCATGAGGCTCCAATATGGATTGGTTTGATGGGCCCAGTTGCTGAGGAGCCCAGGCATGTTCTGAGCATGACGGCATTGTGGGAATAATGCCTAGTCTCCCAGGTGAACCAGTTGGAAGGATGACCTTCTTCTGGATGGATACATTTTGATGAGACAGCTCCAAAAAGTCACATTTCTTCATAGGAAATATATGTATGTATGTATAGAATCATAGGATCATAGATATAAAACCAGAAAGATCTTTGGAAGTCGTCCAGTGAAACCCTCGTTTTTTTAAGGATGAGGAAACTGAGGCCCAGAGGAGACCCAGATTCATGATGATGAGCCAAATCAGGAATTGAAACCTGGGCCTTTGACTCTAGATATATTTTATGGTATGATAACAATAGAAAACTTTACAAAGTGGTTCACACACTTTATTTCCTCTGGTCCTCACAACAATTCTATGAAGTTTTTTTTACAAATGAAGAATCAAGACATTTGTGTCTTTCTCTCACCTCTGCTGTTAACTGGCTGTGGGACACTGAGCAAGTCATTTCCCCTTTCTGAGCCTCAGTTTCCCCCTCTGTAAAATGAGAAAGTTGGATGAGATGGCCTGCGAGGGCCCTCTAGCCCTAGAACTGGTCCTCTGTGTGGCATTGGGTAAGAGAAACCTCCCTTCTCTGGGCCTCAGCATCCTCCTCTGTCAAATGAAGAAGTTGGGTTGGCTAAGGAAGGCCCCTTGGAGCTTGGCTATTGCATCAGTCTAATATTTTCTGTAGTGAAAGGGAGCATGGCATTGTGGGAAGCTCACTAGTTTCAGGGAGAAGACCTGAATTCAAGGTCTAATTCCAATTCTCTCTAGCTGTGGGACTAAATCTCTCTAGCTGTTGGAACAAATCAACCACATTTAAAATCACTGCAAATGGGGATATGCTTGTATTCCCTACTTGTCAGCGTTCTTGGGAAGAAAATGCTTTTTAAAATTTACAGGACTATAGAAAAGTAAGCTATTTTTATAGTTAAATATTGGATATGATTTAATAGACAGAGGGACAGAACAGATAGGGTCAATTCCAAGACCTGAGACCTCAGAGTGTTGCCTTGTTTTCATCCCTCCCCATCACCCAGGCCTATCTTGAACATGAATGTGCCTCCAAACCCAGTGGGCCCCAATTCCTCAGACCATAGGATCCCAGATTTAGGGCTGGCAGGGACCTTTGAGGCCATGGACGCCAAGGTAAGAATCTTCGCCCTAGATCTATGTTCCTATTTTGACACTTCACATGTCTGTGCCTCAGTTTCCTCATTTGTAAAATGAGGTTGGAGGAATGACACCTATGGGCCCTTTCCATCTCTAGTTCTTTGATTGTAATTACATCAAGACCTAAATTTGCTTCATTACGTCTTTTCCCCATTGTTCTCAGTTCTGCCTTCTGGGACCAAAGAGAAGGGGCCAACGCATCTTCCACATGACAATCAATCAATAGGCATTTATTAAGTGCCTACTATGTGCTGGACACTGTACCAGATTCAGGAATTATCAAAAGAAATGACATAGTCCCTGCCCTCAAGGAGCTTGCCTTCTATAACAGCCTTTCAAATATTTGTCCACATCTTTCATGCTCCCTCCACCCTCTCCATCCTGCATCTTGAGTGTTCTATTCTTCCTAGCCATCTACAAGGTCAGGATAAGTGCAGTGGATAGAGGGATAGGCATGGATTCTGGAAGACCTGAATTCAAATCTTGCCTTCGTTTTCAAAGAGGACCAGTGACATCCCAGGCTGATGTCTTGACTCACGCATACATTGGATTTAAGTGAGGCAGAGCTGCACAAAGTCATTGGCCTCACTCTCTCTTCCTGAGTCACTGAAGTCCAATGACAAGACAAAAGTCAGGACAACCAGTGATGGCCCAGGTTGCAGGGGATGACCTCGATGTCTTTGATGTCTTCAAACACCTA